CACTTATCATGTCTCTTTAATCTTTAATCTTAAACAGCTTTTCTACCTGCCCTCTTTAACAACAATGATGATATTTTGAAAGGTTCACACTAGTTGTCTTCTAGAATGTTCCACAATGTGCATTTTTCTGATTGCTCCTTCATATTTACTTACATCTCGATGAAATATTTTGGCAAAGACACATCTAGGAGATGTGTGCTTCCAATTTTACCTTATTAGGAGGCACACTTCATCTTGTCTGATTACTGGTGTCATGAAGTTTAAATAACAAATTTGTTCATGTATACCGTATCTCTCCATTGATAATATTTCCCTGATTTGCATTTAATCAGATATCTGTGGTACTTTGCAATTTGGTGAGTTTTGTCTACCATTTCATCCTGCACTGTGTTATGTACTAATGATGCTTGTCTAAGCCAATCAATACAGTGGTGTTTTCTGAGTGGGGTTATATACTAATTCTGTCATTTGTTCATTTGTTATTATTATTCTATAAAGAAGTGATTCACCTGTTCTTCTGTAGGATTTGCAAATCACTATGAACTCAAGAAATCTTTTATTTGATGTTTTATGATTTATTGCCATCATTCTTATGTTTGATGATAAAACAGAAATGAATTGCCCAGAGTGGTAGCAAACAGTTGTTATCCTAGCACTCAGGAGGTGAAGCCAAGAGGGTGGTGGGTTCTATTCCAGTCTGGTTTACATAGTGAGACCTTGTGATGCTTCCTGGCCCACTGGAACTGAATTTGGCCAGTAAAGTGCCTTAACCTGGTGTCTTGTATCTTTTTGCTATGTCTTCCACAGTGTGAATAATTCTTTTTTTTTTGCAAATTAACATGCCTTGTGCTTTTCCTGTACCAGATATAGAATCAACTATTTCTCCAATAAACTGGATTGTTTTGGTGAAGAATGGTATTTAGAACCCAGTGTCTGAAAAGTAGATGTACTCATTTTCACATGTCTGTTAAACTCTGAGCTATTAGAATGCCATAGCCTGTTCAGCTCAGTGCCCCATTTTATAAATGGGTTGATTAGCCTTTTACTGTCTAGTTTCTTGAGTTCTTTATATATTTTGGAGATCAGACCTTTGTCACTTGCGGGGTTGGTGAAGATCTTCAACAGAAGAAGTTCAAATGGCCAAAAGACACTTAAGGTCATGCTCAACTTCCTTAGCAGTCAGGGAAATGCAAATCAAGACAACCTTAAGATACCATCTTACACCTGTCGGAATGGCTAAAATAAAAAACACCAATGACAGCCTTTGCTGGAGAGGTTGTGGAGAAAGGGGTACACACTCATCCATTGCTGGTGGGAATGCAAACTTGTGCAACCACTTTGGAAAGCAGTGTGGTGGTTTCTCAGAAAATTCGGGATCAACCTACCCCTGGACCCAGCAATACCACTCTTGGGAATATACCCAAGAGAGGCCTTATCATACTACAAAAGTATATGCTCAACTATGTTCATAGCAGCATTGTTTGTAATAGCCAGAACCTGGAAACAACCTAGATGCCCTTCAATGGAAGAATGGATGAAGAAAGTGTGGAATATATACATATTAGAGTACTACTCAGCAGTAAAAAATAATGACTTCTTGAATTTTGCATGCAAATGAACGGAAATCGAAAACACTATCCTGAGTGAAGTAAGCCAGACCCAAAAAGAGGAACATGGGATGTACTCACTCATATTTGGTTTCTAGCCATAAATAAAGGACATTGAGCCTATAATTCGTGATCCTAGAGAAGCTAAATAAGAAGGAGAACCCAAAGAAAAACATATAGGCATCCTCCTGAATATTAACCTTCATCAGGCGATGAAAGGAGACAGAGACAGAGACCCACATTGGAGCACCAGACTGAAATCTCAAGGTCCAAATCAAGAGCAGATGAAGAGAGAGCACAAGCAAGGAACTCGGGACCGCGAGGGGTGCACCCACACACTGAAACAATGGGGATGTTCTATTGGGAACTCACCAAGGCCAGCTGGCCTGGGTCTGAAAAAGCATGGGATAAAACCGGACTCGATGAACATAGCGGACAATGAGGACTACTGAGAACTCAAGAACAATGGCAATGGGTTTTGATCCTACTGCATGTACTGGCTTTGTGGGAGCCTAGGCAGTTTGGATGCTCACCTTACTAGACCTGGATGGAGGTTGGGGGTCCTTGGACATCCCACAGGGCAGGGAACCCTGATTGCTCTTTGGGCTGACGAGGGAGGGGGACTTGATTGGGGGAGGGTGAGGGAAATGGGAGGCGGTGGCGGGGAGGAGGCAGAAATCTTTAATAAATAAACTAAAAAAAAGAATGCCATTGCCTGCTGTCTATGTGCAGATGGTCTGAGATGTTTCAGAATTTCAGGAGATTATACAGGCAATTTCAATCCTAACCTGTGTTCACAGATGCCGTCAGAATTCTCTTCACTTTTCCAGGTTCTATATTTGTGCATCCTTTCTACAAAAGTGAAAATTAAGCCTTCAAAAAAGTTAATTTGTTTGTTCCACTTATAAAGTGCTCATACCACATGTATATATGTGTGTATATCCTATAGTACAGGTTTACAATTTACTTGTCTTAATAGCATTACCAATATGAAATACTGTATTTGTGTTTTGGGGCAGAACTACTTGATGGTATTTGTTTAAAATGGATGTATCTGTTGGGGAATATTATTTCACAGTGTGTTTCTTTAGTTCGTGTTCTATTTATTTAATTCTGTGAAGCTGTGGTACTGTACCAGTCTAAAACACCCGATGGTCTAATAAAGAGCTGAACAGCAAATAGCAAGGTAGGAGAGAGAAAGACCCGGGGCTAACAACCAGAGAAGATTAATATGAGGAAAAATCTGGAAGAAAAAGATCTGGGAACGAGAGAGGAAGGAGGAGAACTTCAGGGGCCATCCACCCAGCCATCCACCTACACAATCAGACATGGAGTAAGAAGAAAAGAAAAGGTATACAAGAAAGACCCGTGGCCAAAGATAGGATAATTTTAGAAAAGTTGGCAAGAAAGAAGCCAAGCTACGGCCAGACATTCATAACTAAGAATAGCTGGGTGGTGAGCTCCCTAAAAAAGCCCCCAAGAGTAAAGGAGTTAAAAAAAAACAACAACAAACAACAGGTGTCTGGTCTTTCTCCAAGCCTACTTATAGAGTTTATTTTGGAGTAGGTTGCTATCTTGAAAAATAGCATTCCGGGTGAATCTATAGACTGCTTCTATTTTAGATACAACATTGTTGTAATTAAGAGCATGGAATTTAGGTTAGGAAGATAAGTGTCCTTGTTCTGTTACTTCATTTTTCTTCATTTATGCAGTGGTGATGGTATATGCTTTGTACCATGGTAATATGCCATATACTTCATTGCATGGTACTTGAAAAACTCCCTAGTGGATGTTAATAGGAAATGGAACTGATTTTTTTCTTTTAGTATAAAATTTTAAATTGGCTTGTCAGGTGTTTCCTACCTGGAAAAAATAAATCAAGAAGCAGTTTGTGTAACATTTTATAGTCATTCCTATTTTTCGTACAGAAAAGGGTATGCCTCTTCAATTTTTTTGTTTCAGTTTTTATAAATTCTTCTCTGTCATTGTATCCCAACCAGTTTCCCCTCCCTCTCCCTCCAGTGTCTCCTCCCTCCCTTCTCCCACAGATTCACACCCCGCTATCTCCCTTCAGAAAAGAGCAGGCCTCCCAGGGATATTAACTGCACATGGCACAACAATCCACAATAATATGCTATAATAAGGCTAGGTACATAGCATCACAGCATGGCTGGACGAGGCAGCCCAGTAGGAGGAAAATGCCTCTTCAATTTTAATAGTGCTATTTCATACTCCTTTTTTATTCTTCTCTCCTATTTCCCCTCCCTCTTCTCCTCCCAGTCCCTCCCCACTACTTCCCCTTTGCTTCCCCTTCCCACCATTCCTCCATTTCTCTTCGGAAAAGGAAAGGTTCCCATAATTATCAACAAAACATGGCCCAGGTTAGTTGATCCTGTGAGTTCTCTTGACCACTCTCTCCCTCTTGACCTTTCTCTCTCCCTCAGGATTCCCTGAATGTTTGGCTGTGGGTCTCTTGTATCTGCTCCCAGCAGTTGCTGGATGAAGCCTCTCTGGTGACAATTATACTAGACTTCCGTCTGTGAGTATAGCAGAATTACATCATCATTCTTAAACATACGTATTTTTGAAAGCAAAAAATTAAAGCTACATTATAGAGGTAAGCAGTGCTTTATCGGAATGTACAATTTTGTATTTTTATGTTAAAAGGTTAAATATACCTGCTCTTTCTCTACCTATTGGTAATTCATTATTTGGAAAGAAATCTAATGACAGATTTACTTATAAATGTTACCAGAGGCTAATTCTAGAAAAGTTAAACAAAATACCTATTCTATACTGTATGTGGATTTTTAGAATAGAAAGTTTTAGAGGGAAAGTAGACTACATTCTATTCCTTTTTAAACTTTCTGTTCCCAAATAGTCTTGAATCAGGACGAGTTGATCTGCTTTCTACTTTGAAATGCGATTTATATTTTTTTTTCCTGTGGATGAGTTCTTCACTCACTTTTCATGTTACTTCCCTACAGGAGAATGTATATTGAGTTACAGAATCTAGTAATGGGCCTCCGAAGAAGCTAGACCTTGTCAGTGTTCTCTGATGTCTAATAGGACTACTGCGGGAAAAGTGTATTAATGCGAGAATGTTGCTAGGAGACGGGAGAGCCAAAAGCCCAGGCTACTGTGGGGGTTCCACTGAAAATCAAGGTAATTAAAGTGTGTTCTGTGTCCGAAGTTGAGCCATTAAAATCTGTCCTTTGTTGAGCATATGAATTTTAGCATGCAGTGTTTAGCATGACTTGATGTTTTCCGAGGATTTGGGAGGAGAATCTTCAAGGCATTTCATTTCTTGTCATTGGTCTAATCCCTTCTTCACAGCGCAGTTTATTTTCAAGAGGCTGTTGCGCTGCTGTTTTCCCCTCCCACTCCTTCAGTGCGACAGCCTCGGAGCTGATGGAGAGACAGCACGCAACTGGTAAGTAGCCGAGAAAGCTCTCATAAAATAGTTGTTAAAGCTCCGCTTTCTAAAGCAAGTGACACATTTTGATGAAACAAGATAGCATAGAACTGTGGAGGAATTTGCCTAGTCCGTAGCACCAAGAAAATAGGTTATATTCTAAAGATTACATGGTCACTTTCCTAGTTTAAAGCTCGCTTTCTAAATGATGAATGACTCGATAGAAGAAAATAAGAACACATAAAAATAGCAAATTTCGTAAGATGCTCCCCAAAATAAGATTTTTTTGAAGGTATTCTCAGCTTTATGATGTTTGAATTAGGCATGATGACATGATAGTTTTGATTCATTATTCAGGCTTTTTTTGGATATGGTTTATTTTCTTTCTGTGGTGAGAATATTTTGCATTGGAGGATAGGATAGCGTACTTTACTTGTTTTTAATTAAGAAGATGATGCGGTGACATGTCTGCATAGGAAAGGAAATGAAGAGGGCAGACTGTAATAATATTACGACTGGTTGCTTTGTAGGAGAGATGAATGTGTATTGAATGGGGAAAATTTGCTTGTAGGGTGAAAATAATGAAAAAGAAATAACAAATATTATGACTGTGCCTTCATTTGTAAAATCCATTTGCTTTTTGCATGTCATGCTGTACAGTAAAGATAGAATGTTCTCGGTGCTTTTTTTTTTGAAAAGGAATGTGAGAACGTAGCAGAGATTCCTATGGATACAACATTTTGTTTGTTTCTCAATATCTCTGAAATTGTGTGTACTCTTTTAGGTTGGTTACTGCAAGAAAACAGAAAAAGAGGTGAAGTCGTGTATTTTCAATTTTTTTTTAAATTCAGATTGGTTTTGACACATGACCCAAAGGGAAGAGGAAAAAGGAAGGGGAGCTGGGCTTTGGAGTTAGATAACAAAACGAAGATCAGAGAGGAATATGAGAATGAAAAAGCTTATTTGAAAGTCTCTGAAGATAAGCCATTCCCCAAACTAAACATGTCTGCTGGGGTCATAGTTTTCAGGGAAAGGGAGCCTGCATGATGAAGGTGCGGGGGGGGGGGGGGGGGGGGGGGGGTGTTGGGGGGGAGGGGGCGCATCAGGAGAGCACTGCGGCAAAGGGTGACTGACGCATCCAGGGACATGTGACCATTCTCTGGTGTAGTGAAGAAAAATTTTCAGGACTCCAACTTGTATAAGAAATTCTATACATCCTAACATGCAAATAATGCTGGAATCATGCTGTGGTGGATCATGAGTTAATTTTGTGTAATGTTCCATTGCTATTTATTTAATTCTTACTTTTTATTGTCATTGTTTCTAGACTTTCTTTTCCGCAATCTCAGAGCTTTCCTATGTTTATTAAAGTATCTCATTATAATGTTGGCTCTTCCTTTATTATAAAAAGACAGTAATGTACAGAACTTGGAAAAATTAAAATATGACTATAAAGATTATGCACAATGCCATAACCTTAGCATATTGCTGTCAGTCACTTTTCTCTGCATATATACAAATATATGCATAGAAATGCATATTTAATACAAAATAATGATCAGATGTGAAGTCTTTATTCTGCTTTATTCATTAAACATATTTTTATAAATAATTTTTCATATTTTAAAGTATCTCACAGGAATGTGTTTCAGGAATACATAATTTTTGATCTCATGGGAGTGATCACATTCCAAATAATAAATGTATAAATGTGCTTTTTGCTATAATGATTTAAGGAATATATTTCTACATAAATCTTTGTGCACCCTTCTGTTCTTCCCCCCCTAGGAAAAAATTCAGACGTGGATTTCATGGATCAAATGGGTATGAATCAGTCTCAGGTTTCTTCTCTTGTCAAAACATCTTGCTTAGTTTGTTTAACATATGTGATTAAAACACTCTCAAGCCATTATTTGAATATATAGTTTTGTCACTTATGATGGCAATTTTGGGGACACATTACTGCTTTATCTTTTAAAATATCTATTCCTGTCAGTTTATTTTTACGTTTTCTTTCTTTTTTGAGGTATTCCTCCACATAAACATTCACCTGTATTTTCTCTGGAAATTTAATTAATTAATTTCTTTTACAATTAACTCTGCAATATGTATAGTATTCATTTTAAATGTGTAGTATAAAATAGAATCTAATTTTGTGCCTTTTCCAGATAGGTTGCCAATGGTTTCAGCATTGTGAACTGAATAACACAACCTTCTTCCACTGATGTGATGTGTCAACAGCTGTTCTCCCATTAGATAAGGTGTAGCTTTCCAAAGGTCGGCCATTTTCTCTCTACTCAAGATGGTTACATTCCATTATAGTACTTTTACCTTCTTGCTACATCCAGCAGCCTGCTAAAGCACTGTGTTTATATTTTTGCCTTTCAAGAATCTTAGTTCTATGTAGTTTAGAACAGGTATTTTCAAACAGGTTATGTATATAATGCATATATGTTATGTGTGTTTGTGTGTATATATATATATATGTTAAATAGTTAAAAATCTTAATAATTATTTTTTTAAAATTAGAAGTTAAGGAGTCCAATGACATAGAATACTGCTCCAGATGGTATTCCTTTTGGATGCTCTTGACATTCCAGTTGCGCGTTTAAAAAGTACTTCAGGGATTAATGCTTGTTCTAAGGTTTTTCTGTTCTTCAGGTATTTAGAGAGGTAAAGCTGTGTGGATTCAGTTCCTGGAATTTTCTAGAGAGAAATAAGAGGGAAATGTAAGAAATGTATGAGATGAAAAAACGTTTTCAATTATGTTGCTGGCAGTACAATGATCTCAATTTAAAGGATGGAGGTGAGTTTTGGTACTTGCTACCACTGTCATTATCTCTTGAGACAGGAAAACATGGCTATGGTCCATTTCTTTTTACTGCAAGTGGAAGGGTCAAGACACAAAACATGGAGGCTTTTAGTAGGAGGTAAGTTAAAAAGTAACAGAAGTATTTGACAGTTAAAAATCACCTGCTGTTCTCTGTTGTACCCCTTACTCTCCAGCACAGCGTTTTCCCCCACCCAGCGACTTCAAAGCACTCGTCTTCTCTGACTTTGGAAGGAAAGGGAGGTAAGTAGCAGCTGCTTTCTTTGCCTGCTGTTACTGCAAGGTACTCTTTTGACTCATAGACACAGCTCCAGTCATTTCCTGACTTGCGACATTAGGCTATGATTTGTTTATGACTGAGGCTGGTTTCCCTGGCAACAGGACCTCACCAGATGATGCGTATTGCCTAATCTGCAGTGGCAGAATGCAGCTGTGGGGCCTTGGGAGGAATCTTGGGGATCCACAGAGGCTGGAGGAGGTATTCCACAGACATGACATCAGTTTTTTTCTCCCCAAGCTGAGACTGTTACGGTACACAGAGCATTACATTTAAAAAAAAAATCCTCAGAAGACTTTGAAATTCTCTCTTTTCTCTTCCAGTACAACTGCAGGGAGTAGTTTCACCAGTGACCATCACATTTTTCCAATTATTAAGGTCCCAGATATTCTTGTGTGGCTATAGGAAAGAGACGGCCTGATTCGAACCTCCATCTCTTTCTTGCCAGTTGCATGACCACAGAACAGTTTTAGACTTCCTGGGCCTCAGGTTCTTCAGCTGTGAAATGGGAATAGTAACAACACATTTAAGAAAAGTGGTACATATTAACTACTAGAGGTGTTATTTATTGTTATTTGTAGATGTTAAAGGAAAACTGTTGGAACCAGACTTGTGCCTGTGCGGTACACTAGCTTATCCTAATGCTTTTACTGAACAAATGAGAGACACATTTAACCCAACAGAATGCAGACACCTCTCATGTAGCACACAGATGCCCTGCAACAGAATGTTGCACTACTCCCTGAAGCTCATTAATACATACTACAGTAAATACATTTGCCCCTTATTACATACCTTCCATGTCACTGGGCTCTTTTAGATCAGAGCAGGTTCTCTTCCACACAGAGACCAAGCTAAAGGACCTTTATCAGCTCCACATGATGATTCTTGTCTCACCAGGGATACAGTGCCTGTATCTCAACACTGTAGCTCACCTTTACATCTCATGGATCCTGTCAAGAATGTATAATGTATACAGACTTCATTTATCCCACACAGACTGCTTCCCAGAGCACATAGATTCTCCCCAGAACACATAAGTACTCAGCACAGCAAGTCTCTCCCTACAGCACAATTACCCCATGTGTGCTCCACCAATTGAACTCCTGCCTGGTGAAGTTCATGGGAAACAGACCTCCCTCACGTCACACTAACACTTGCAAGACCATGTAGCCTTGCCCACAACACACAGATTCTTGTCACATCATGGGAACCTTCACCACAGAGCACAGACTGTCCACACCACAGCAGCATCCCATAGTGTACATCGTTTCTCCTTGAACACAGACGTAAAACACAGCTAAAATCCCTTGCCATAATACCAAAACTCACCCAAAGGACAAACTCTCCCTCTGACAAATGGAATGATCTTTGTTATATGGTATTTATTTAACAGGACACAGGCTTATATCTCATTACACACCCTCCTTATTCTGTGCACATTTACCCCATGAAACGTGTTAAACTTATGGTGTAGAGACATTCCCCATAGCCCTGGACCATGCTCACTCTTCCATCACATATCAGTACAGTAGTATACCCTGAAACACATAGATCATTCCTTGTTAAACAGGATTTTAATTTAATAACACAGTTGCACCACAGTGTGCCAATTCATCTCTTGATAAACATACAATGCAAAGCTACAGTGCACATACCTGCCGCAGAAGCACGTATTTGCCACACATTACCCAAATCTCCTTCCATGTTTGCAGAATTGCCTTCTAAGGTACTCAAGGCCCCTCCCCATGTCCATCACAAAGGTGGTCCACAGTATCCACACTTATCCCACAATACAGGTGTGAAACCATAAGATCTGAACACACACCTCAGAGGACTACACTCCATTGCCACAATGCTGAAAATTCTGTAACAGTAATGTATTTTCTATTTCCTCTCACACAATCACTTCTTACAGTGATTCTATCGTCTAGACACATGCCCCCAAACACAAGAAGCCCATGTTTCAATGACTCTCAGGTTTACTACAAAGCACACAGACAGATTAACTCTTATCTACAAAACAAAATATACCTAGCATATGCACAGAACTCTACCAGAATGCACAAAATCAACTATTAGTATACATACTTGCCTCAAAACTCATATAATTTTTTTCAAACAGTGACACTCACCCTAAATGTACAGACAAGCCATTCAGGCCACAGACTTGCCCTGTAATACACACAATCATAATATGTATGTCTTTAAGTTATAGGCTTACCCATGAATGCATAGATTTGTTCTACATTGTGCAGTTACATCACAACACTTCATAATGCAAGTAAAAGCTGCCTATCATGTAGACATATATACACAGAACATGTTACAGATATGTACTATAATACATTATGGACATATATAGCACATGTATTAACTTCACTTTGCATAGATTTCCATTGTAAAGGACAGACATGGTTTACCATATCATTGAGCTACAAAACTGGCCTACAGCAGAGATACAGCTTGGTATCCTATAAGAGCAAGGCCTCTGGACCCAGGCTTCCTGGCCTTGCCTCCAGATTCCACCCTTTCCTAATTATATCACTACAGGTAAGTATATTTCTATGTTCTTTGGTTTACTCATCTGCAAAACAAAGGTGACAGTAGTAGCTACTTTGAAGAATTCTCATGAATAAAAAAACAACCTAAGCTATGTTTAGTATAATAAAGTACCTGCTAGAAACTGTTAGATTTATTCATTTACATTACCATCACCTACCTCCTTCCAACCCACCATTTTTAATGAAGCGGAGGTGCTTATTTAAAGTATCTAAAACCATCTAACAATATAGATTTTTCCACAGTACATAGATTAGTCCTGGAACATACAGAAATACCCTACTACATACAGACAACACCCCATAATACCTTATACCCTACAGAGTACAGACAGCACACTAAACTAGATTTCACTCACAATGTAAACATTGACAATGGAATTAAGAAATGTGGTCTATAATGCATATGCTCACTTCATATGTACACATTCCCCTCACAACACACAGACTTGGTCTACAATACACAGATTTACCCCATACAGTTATATGTGGTATAACCATAAACTTGTGTACTGTCTGGCATTTATCCCATTATACGCAAATATTTATTCCAAAGCATGTGGATTTCTTTGCTATTCACAAACGTGTTCTTAAATTCACACTCCTAAGTTTAGAGGATCATATTTTAATGCATAGCTCCTTCCTATAACACATTTACTTTTATTTTGTTTTACTCATAAACAACTATATGCTTCATACCTCATTACTTACACATAAATCTGATCTATATGAAAACACCCCCACATATATGATCACATATCCCATACCTCACAAATTAACTTTTTTTAAAAGCTTAAAATACACGTGACTGGGGGTTCTGCCTGCAAGTATGTCCACACACCATATATGTGCCTGCTACCTACTGTGGACAGATAAGGGTTTTAAGGTCCCCTGGAACCTGAGCTACAGACATTTGTGAGCTTCCCTTTTGGTGCTGAGAATTGACACTGGGTCCTCTACAAGAGTGGCAAGTGTTCTTAACTACTAAGTCTTTTCCCCAGCCCCCTCCCCCAAGGGTAGCTTTCTAAGGCCTATTTAAGCCCAGTCACACAGAGTTATCCCTCTAAGCAATTATGTTCTTAAATACCTTACATCTGTATGACAAGGCAGCATCTACACGAAGTCATTTTCATCTTTCAGGCTTGCATTTAAGCAACTAGACTCATAAAAAGCAAAGCCATGCTTACAGTACAAAAACCCAACCCACTGTTCCCAATGTGGCACAAAGCAAAGGTGAACCTCAGCTCACATAAGCTCAAAACAGAGTGCACAAAATTTTGGTGCGCTGCAGTTAGATCAGCTCCCTATTACAAAGCTTGAACTCAGAGCCCCAATTGCCTAGACTGAAATCCCTAACACATCAATGTAAGTTTATGACCTAAGAAAAATTTTTGGACCACTCTATGCCTTTTCTAACCTATAAATTTAGAATAATAATGATTACTGTACCTACAGCTGTTAAGAGGAACAAATGGGTTAATGCTTCTAAAGTCTTTACAACAGTATCTGATCTGCTGATACTGCTGTTGTTAACATGCACTAAACTGGACAATAAAATGGTAAGATTCAACTAAAACCAACCCTTGTACACATTCACTGTCCTCCATGAAGCACACAGTCTAATCACAACCTATGTTTTGACCACTACATCTGTGTTGACTGTATTTAGCTCACATTTAGATTCACCTATACATGGTGTCTACACGGCAAAGATACTC